TTGATTTGAGGATTCTTCTTCTTGTAGACGTGAGCTTACATTCAAATTCCATGTGCTCAAATTCAATTATGCTTGAATTTCTGTGTTTGAATTTCTGGACTTCTGAATTCTGAATTTGTGTCTGAATTTCTGAACTTTTGAATTTGTGTCTCTAAATTTCTGGACTTCTGAATCTGTGTCTCTGAATTTCTGGACTTCTGAATTCTGAATTTGTATCTGAATTTCTGGACTTCTGACTTTGTGTCTCTGAATTTCTGGACTTCTGAATTCTGAATTTGTGTCAGAATTTCTGGACTTCTGACTTTGTGTCTCTGAATTTCTGGACTTCTGAATTCTGAATTTGTGTCGTTCTGGACTTCTGAATTTGTGTCTCTGAATTTCTGGACTTCTGAATTCTGAATTTGGATTTCTAGACTCTGAATTTGCGTACCATTTCTTGGATTTATAGGTTTCTTGAATTAATAGGATGATGGCACGTGTCATCTCCTGATAAGGATAAAATCATAATTGGGCCGGGCCGATTATATTATGATAATTATCCTTAAATAATTATTCCAAATATATTTTTTTAGGAACAATTATCTTTTTATTTAATCATCTGGGCTGGGCTAATTAAATAATTTAAGTGGATCAAGCTTGGGCCAATTAAATAACTTAATTAAACATTATACCCATATTTCATTAGTCCATTTGTCAAAACCAAAGCCCACTAAAATTTTAGTGTCTACAATAGGTTTTATAAATTATATTTATGGTTGTTCTTGTTGTGTGAATTGATAAATTCATGAGTTAGATTTAATTTCTTTGTGGATTTCTACATGTTATAAAATATAATTTCATGCTTGTTGTTTATGGGACTTAGAAACATGCCTTAGAACCCTTAAACAGTGAAGAACGGATTTACAATAGGATTTCTAGGTTGAATCGCGTAAACAGTGTTCGATCTGTTGGTACAGTGCTCGAGTCTTGGATGAAAAGCTTGAGCCTTGAAAGAAAAACTCGAGCCATAGGTGAAAAGATTGAGCCTTGGATGCAAAGCTCGAGCTATTGATGTAAAACTCGAGCCATGGATAGGAAGCTTAAGCCATGGATGGAAAGCTCGAGCAAGCCTTACCTGGGAAGTTTTGTAAACAGTGTTAAATTGATATTAATTGGTTTTGAAGGGTCCTAAACATTTAATAGGACTAGGTATGAGTTTAAATAAATTCTAAACAGACTTAATTGTAACAATGCATGCTATTTGAATTCTTTAACGAATGAATGGATTTAATCTTTTTAATTTGCTCTAACAATTGAGATTAAATGTGTAGCATGAATTGTATTTGGAGAATGCTTACTTGACTGTATAATAAAATATCAGCATGTTTAAGATTCAGTTTGTGTAGGATATATGATGTAGGAAGCTTAAATAAATTATAAGTCATTCCTATTTTGTGATAGTATGATATTATGTTATTATGTTTATTTCTGGATTATTTAATGTACTTCTTTAATTGTTACATCAACTATTGGATTGTGTGGATGTAATGTACCAATATGGGATTGTAGCATTCTAGGGGCGGATTAACTTAACAGTTAAGTCCTACCTATTTTTGTATAAGTGAATGGATTAACTAAAACGTTAAGTTCTACTTATATTCGTGTCAGGTCAACTGAACAAGTTGGATGATACATCGTGGTTTACTTATGTGTGTGTGTGTGTGTGTGTGTGTGTGTGTATGTGTGCTATGATATGAGTTTGAGTCTTATGATTAGTGGTTAGAGTGCGTATATTGCCAGGGATGTGTAGTTAGATATAGTGTAGTTGTGTGCCCTGGTAGTTTAGGTACTCGTGCATATTACATGTGCGTTTTGCATGTTGCCTATTATTCAGGTTGAGGTAATCCTATAGTCTAGTTAGGTTCCTTTAGTATGTATATATATTATGGACTATGTAGTTATTGCATGGGTTAGTTATAGATGTGTAGTTTCTCCGGTCTGTGTTTGGGTTGCCGTAGAAAGAACTTGTTCGTGGGCCTGACCTACTATTATTTATCAGGTATTCGTTAGTTTCCAACATAGAACTTATTCGTGCTGAGTAGAGACAATCCACATCATTCTTCCGATTCTACATAGGATTTTCTTTATGTTTTAGTTTCGGGATATACTTTATTTCAGTTATTTCAATTGGGTTATTATTAGGGGTCCACTAGATGGATTTCCGAGTTGTAATGATATCGGAGGTTTTGGATATTTCATTTGGAGGATTAATTATTTATTAATTTAAGGGTTTATTATTTAGTTTCTTTCCACTTATTTAATTATTCTTATTTTATTTTGTATTCTGTGTTCGATTATATACTTTTATTGTTTGATATCCCTCGGATTTGTGCTCGGACTTGATCACCCGTGACTCTAGAATCGAGGGGTATCACAGTTGGTATCAGAACACTCCAGGTTCAAGTGTCTTTAGGAATTTATCATTTTCAAACTTCCGCGTAGCATATTATTTTATTTAGAGCCTAAGTTTAGGATTCATTGTATTCCTTTATGGTTCATTTAAATCGTACTGATGTTTGTCTTTCTATGTTAATAGAATAGTTAACGCTAGAAAAAGACGGGATAATCAGAGAAACAGGCAGCAAAGGGGAGCGGCACGTAGGCAGTAGGATTTCCTACGGTGTTAGCAAATGGAGGAATAGCAACAACTACCTGGGTTTCAAGAGGAGGAGCAGGAGGAAGATGGTCAGTTGCATATTGAGCAGGAGGAAGTATAGCAGACTCAGGAGTCTTAGGATCGGGGCTACAATCAGGGTAGGGATCCAGAGTATCCTCCCCATATAAATGACCTCATTGCTTGGGCTATAGAAGCAGGTGTAGCAGCTGCACTTCACAATCAGCCACAGTTTCAGCAGGTACCTATACCGGCACCAGGGGTTCAGACAGATCCTTGGGAGAAGGCTAAGAGTTCTTTCACAAAGGGAAGCCCACCTGAGTTCTTAGGCTCCACCGATGCGAAAGTAGCTCACTAGTGGAAGAAGGACATCGAGCGACATCTTCGCATGGTTAAGTGCACAGAGGTTTTGAAGTAGATGCTTGCTACCTTCAAGCTTGTCGGAGACGCACTCATGGTGGGAGTCAGTAACCACCGCGGAAGAGAGGTCTTTATTGACCTATGATCAGTTTAGTACTCGCTTCGATAAGAAGTATTTTTCATATGCAGTCTGAACAGTTATGAAGACAAAGTTCCTTAATCTAGAGTAGGGGAACATGACAGTGGCAGAGTATGAGCAACAATTCACGCGCTTATCTCTATTTGCTCCAGAGGAGGTGGATACCGAGGAGAAGAAACGTAATAGCTTCATTAAGGGGCTTATGTGGTCTATTAAGCAACCTATTACTGGTAGTCCAGCCTACACTATTTATGCTGAGGTGGTAGATGCCGCTCTTTTCTAGTTTCAGACAAGCCGAAAGTTTCTTCTCTGGTTCGTATTAAGCTTCTTTAATCTCTATCGCGACTTGCGAAACAACTCTGCTTTTAGATCAGGCGAACTGAATCGAATCAATTCTAACAACCTTAATTTTCTCTTATTTTCTCCAAATTTTTCCTATTATTTATGCAATCGGCAGTCTTGATTTGCCCGAGTTAAAGTACACTACGTTTTTGGAAAATATGGAAAGCTTGGGCAGTTAAGGTTTTAGCCTCATGGTACACTGATTTTTCCCCTTCTTCTAGCTTGATTTCTTTGAATTTTTTTTTTCTCTTAATAATATTGAACATGTATTACTTATAAAAAAAAATTTTAATATTGAACATGTACACTACACAGGCGCACATGGCACACTAAATTTTTTCCCCTTCTTTTAGATTGATTTCTTTGATTTTTTTTTTTTTCCTTCTTAAAAATATTGAACATGTACACTGCGCAAGCGCACACTAATTCTAGCTTGATTTCTTTGAATTTTTTTTTTCTTAATAATATTGAACATGTACACTGCACAGGCGCACACTAATTCTAGTTGAATACACAATTCACAGGCACACTATTGTGTATTCAACTCAAGACCTAAGTTGAATGTATTGCTTGTTTATAGATGATAATATGATATCAAATTATCAGTTGCAAATCATAACCATTTTTTTCTTTTTATTTATTTATTTATCATGCCATTGAATGTATTGCTTGCTTGAAAATGAATTAGTAATGAAGAAATTTATGACTCTTCAAAGCAAATTGATGTGGAGATAACTCTCCAGAATCTTCCTGCAGATTTTGGACTACGAACTCAAATAGGGGATTACAATCCTAATGTCCGAGATGAAATTCGTAGAACATATATACTAAGGGAATTGGGGAATACTCAAGACGCTTCAACCCGAAATGGTTTGCTGAAAATTTTAATTGGTTAGAATATAGCATAGCTAAAGATGCAGCATATTGTCTACGTTGCTATCTCTTTAAACCAAATATCGTGGAACAATCGGGTGGTGACTCTTTTGTGGGTGAATGATTTTCAAATTGGAAGAAGAAATAAAGATTTCAAGTTCACATTAGAAGTCTGAAAAGTGCCCATAACCGATATTCAAGTGTGTTAAGATTTACTAAAACAAAAGCAACACATTGAAACAATTTTTTCCAAGCAATCGGACAAAATGCGAATTGAATATCTAACTCGATTGACTTCATCAATTGATTGTATTCGACACCTATTGCGACAAGGGCTTGCATTTTGTGGTGATGATGAATCTGAGGATTTAAACAACCAAGGGAATTTTCTAATGCAATTGCGGTTTCTTGCGAATCATAATAAGGATATTGATGCGATTACATTGAATAATACTCCCGAAAATCATAAACTAACGTCACCTATGATTCAAAAGGAAATTGTTAATGCCATTGCATTGGAGTCTATTAATGTTATCATTGAAGATATTGGTGGTGTTTTTTTTTTTTTTTTTTTTTTTTTTTTTTTTTTCTATTCTAATTGATGAGTCTCTGGACAAATCAACAAAGGAGCAAATGGCTTGTGTGTTACGCTACGTGGACAAGAATGGGCATGTAGTTGAATGTTTTATGGGTATTGTGCATGTTACTGATACATCTGCTATCTCACTTAAGATGACGATTGATGATTTATTTTGTAGACAAGGCTTGAACATTTCTAGATTGCACGGACAAGGTTATGATGGGGTTTCTAATATGCGAGGTGCATTCAATGGCCTCAAAACTCTAATCTTGAAAGTTAATACATTTGCTTTTTACATTAATTTCTTTTCCCATCAATTTCAGTTGACTCTAGTGGGTGTGGCAAGAAAACATAAAGATATTGTTTCTCTTTTCACTTTTGTTGCTAATGTTGTGAATGTAGTTGGTGGTTCATGTAAACGGCGTGGTAATCTTCGAGAGAAACAAATTTCCATAGTTACTGAGGTGCTTAACAATGGCTAGATTTCAAGTGGGCAAGGCCTAAATCAAAACACTACTCTTAAATGATCTAGTGATACACGTTGGGGTTCACATTATGACACTTTGGTTAGCTTGATTACCATGTTTTCGTCATATGCTGGTGTACTTGAGACAATTACAAAGGATGGGTCATCTAAACAAAAATTTGAAGTAAATATTCTATTGGACTACATACAATCCTTTAAATTCATCTTTAGTTTGCATTTAATTCATCTTTAAATCCTTTCTATTGGACTACATACAATCCTTTAAATTTGTATTTTGGGAATTACAAATGAATTATCGAATGCACTTTAAAGGAAAGATTAAGATATTGTGATTGCTATGTCCCAAGTCAAATTATTCAAGGACCAATTGCAAAGGATGAGGAAGAATGGATGGGAATCTTTACTTGATGAAGTTTCTTCTTTTTGTGTCAAACATGAAATTCTTGTTCCTAACATGGATGATCCATTTTTAGCTCAAGGAAGACCACGACGTGATGCTCACAAAAATTCAAACTTGCATAATTATCGTGTTGAATTGTTTTATGCCATCATAGATATGCAACTTCAAGAGCTAAGTAGTTGTTTTGATGAAGTGAATGCTGAGTTGTTGCTTTGTGTGGCAAGCTTGTGTCCAGCTGATTCATTTTTTGCTTCTGAGAAGCAAAAGCTAATCCGCCTTGCTCAAATTTATCCAAACGAAACCTTAGTTATCAACTTGAGAATTATATTGTAGATGTGCACTCTAGTAGTGAGTTTGAAGGTTTAAAAGGGATTGGTGATCTTACAAAAAAAATGGTTCAAACCCAAAGGGACAAGTTGCATTTGTTAGTATATTTGCTTGTGGCATTGACATTGATCCTACCGGTTGCAACTGCAACTGTAGAGAGGACATTTTCTGCTATGAATATCATGAAGAATCAATTGCGCAACAAGATGGGAGATGAATGGATGAGTGATAGTTTGATAACGTATATTGAGAAAGATACATCTGTTGGCTTAGATAATGAAATTATCATACGACGTTTTCAAGATATAAAAAATTGTTGAGGACCATTGTGAATGTACTCAATGGAATTATCAATGAATGCTAAAGTTATTTTGCTTATTATAATGGTTTGAATTTCATTTTTTTTTTTTTTTTTAGAGATCGCCCCTCACATAATTTTCTGAATCTGTTCCTATGTGTGGATTAGAAAAGCTTGCTCCAAAGAGAATATATTCGCTGCTATATTTGTTCTTATATCATTAAGAACAGTGTGTATACGTGTAACTTTATATATACACAAGTGTGTGGGTTAGAAAAGTTTGCTCCAAAGAGAATATATTCACTACTATAACTGTCCACCATCATGCTCCGATTCCTAAGGATGCTTAACCAAACCTAGGAAACATTGTCAAGGACATTTGGCCACAAACAAGTTTTGGGTTACTATCTCTTTTTGGTCACTGAGTTTTGCTATCTATTGTCCATCCACAATGAAAAAGATTCTTCTATGCTTTCATTGAATGGCTCGTGCAACTAATTTTGTTCAGACCATTCATTTTTCCTTTTCTTTTTCTTTTCCATTTTTGGGCTTGCAGTTGACAAGAAGTTAACCAGGAGCTTATTCATCTAGGTTGATTTTTTTTTTTTTTTTTTTGGGGGGGGGGGGGGGGGGTTTCATACATATTTTGTCGAGGAAAAAAGATGTACATGTTATATATATATCTTAGTATGATACAGTGTCCCATAAAATAAAACCATTATTATTTTTTAATCTAGTGGTAACTTAGGGTCCGGTGTATCTGTTGAGTTACTAAAAGGAGATTGTTGTCTGGCATCAGACCATCTTACTTATCATAGGACTCTTTTGAGTTATTAAAAGTAACGTTGCCATATTTTTCAAAAAAAAAAAAAGTAACGTTGCCATCGGACCATCTTACTTACCGGATGATAGAGTCGAACAATTTTTGGACCGGCGGTTGGCATTAGGGGTGCACACGGTCCGGTTTGGACAGAATTGGGAGTTTTTTTGGATCAAACCATTTATAACGGTTCCATTATTTTTGAAACCAAACCAAATCATAATGCCCATGGAACCAAACCAAACCGCGAAAAACTGATTTGGTTCAGTTCGGTTTGTCAGTTTCAATTAATTTCATTTTTATTTTATTTTTTAAAAAACAAAATTTCTTATTTTTTCCTGTATATAAGGTTTCATGGCAGTTAGAGGCAGAACTTGGATTTTATTTCAAAGGGGGCAAAGTTCAAAAAAAAAAAAAAAAATGCAAAAAGAAGAATTTTAAGAAGAAAAAAGGAAAGAAAATTGAGATATAATTCAAAAAAAGAAAATTTGACTTTTTAAAAAAGAAATTTAAGGAATTTAAAAAACAAAAGAAAGAAAAAGTTAAGATAATTTTAGAAATTAAAAATTTAGGGGGACACATAAGACATGAGAATTTTACTTGATTTTGGTTTAGGGATGATACATATATATATATATATATATATATATATATATATATATATATATATATATATATTATAACATAATAACGGTTCGGTTCGAGCCGGTCCGGTCTAGCAGAACCCTAAACCAGAGCCGAACCGAAAAATTACGGTTCCATAATTTTGGGCCCAGGACCGGACCAAACCGCTATACAACTAGCCCAAACCGTCCAATTCAGTCCGGTCCGGTCCAATTTTTCGGTATACCGGATTTTTTGAACACCCCTAGTTGGCGTCAGTCTAATTTCGATACCAACTTTAATGGCTCAAACATTTGCCTTCTATCCCATTCACTTCCCATCTAGATTCAATGTGGGATGAGCCCCTATGACAATATGCTATTCTTTTGGAATTTTAAAACATAATATTTAAAACATAATTTAATTGAAAACGATTTTTAGTGAATTTAAGTTATTCTTATCAAATTTTTTAAGAACATTTACTACAAATAATAACCTATTTGTAAATTCTGAGTCGCGATCCTAATGAAAGATACTTAAGCACTGTTTGGTTTACGTTTTGTTTTTGACGCTTTATTATAACCCAAAACAAAGTGTTTTGAATAATAATCGAAAACATGTTTCGTAACCGTCATTTGTTGCAAGTTTTTTAATAGCAAAAATATAAAAAACATTTTTGGTATAAAAATGTTTCAAGTTTGAAAAATACAATGGTTAGTTTAAAATATCATTTAAGAGTTTTTCATTTTTTTTTAACTGTTTATAGCTAGTGTTGAAACATTTAAAATACCAAATTGATGTTTTAAATTTTTGCCACTATTCATGAAACGTTTCGACATCGTGCAAAATAAAATATTTTTTACCAAATACGTTTTTCCAAAAAAACTCCTATAACACCCAACCAAAAACAAAAACGCCAAAAATACCCAACCAAACAAGTCTTTAATAATTTTATTTTTACTATATTAATAAATAATAACTAAATTACAAATAAAATAAATGAAAATTTTATTGATACTACATATAACGTGTGAGAAGAAAAAAACACATATAATATAATACAACCAAAAGTACCCAAAATAATTATGAATCAATGTATATTTGTGCGGAAAAGGTGTTTTCTGTTTAATTCTATTTTACTGTACATGTTTTGAAAAAGAATAACTTGTTGGACAATAACAAATAAGGTCTTAGTTCAACGGTTAGCATCTTAATTCAGATTTGTATGTCATAGGGGTTTGACTCTCATATCATGTCATTAAACACAATTCATTTCTTATTATTCATATTAATCCTCTTAAGAGGTCTCTTATTTTTTTTTAATTTTAATTTAAATACATTAAAAAATTGATTTGATTTTTTACACATTTAAAAAAATTATTTTATTCATTGATTAGCATGAAAAAGACTTCTTAGAAACATTACTCATAATATAAATATTTCATTCAAAGATTTCGTACCGATTGATAATCGTCGAAGTTACTCATTTTAGGTATAAAATCAGTCAATTCCCTATACTCGTCCAAGTCACTCATTTTAGGTATGAAATCAGTCAATTCTCTATCAAATTGGCCAATTCTATTGTGATTTTCGAAAATTACTGATTTATTGAAAAATTGCATATCATTGGACTTAAGAAAGAAGAGGGAGGAAGATGAGAAAAAGAAACAAGTTTTATTATTATTATTATTATTATTATTTAGAGAGGGAGGACTCGAACATAGGTACATTTGCCCAAAAAACTATCCTTTATCAAATAAGTCACTGGAGCATGTCCAGAAAAAGAAAGAAGTTGATGTAGTATTTTAAAGAAAGCAAAAGTTTCATTTGCCTTTTAATAAATAGAAGGACTAAGTTGGTAATAAAAATTTGATCAGTCCTGTTTTTGGGTAAAAATATGGTTCAAAATGTTAACAAGCGGCCCACTATAAATTCTAAAAGCAACTGTCGATAATTACTCCATTTAAAAAAAGAAAGAAAACATTCTAAGGACTGAAAATCTCACAATTGAGTCAATGGAGATAATGGTAATAAACTGCAATTATTATTATTTAAATTTATTGCTAGAAATCAATGTAAGATATCTAAGATACAAAATTAGCATCATGATAAGCCAAGCCCATAGGACAAAAAAAAGGACTAATAAGGGAGACGATCCAATAGAAAGAAAAAGAGTGGTGGTCCAAAGGAAAATGATGAAAGAATTGAAACATACTCAAATTGAATTGGACGGAAAAGGGCCCTAAATGGAATGGGGCCAAAGTGGATAATATGTTAGGTGAGTCTGACATGTCGCATTATTAGTATGCTCGGTTAATAAAAATTTTGTAATACAATTGAATAGATTTTAATATTTATAAAAGAAAATTAAAAAATATGTTAAAATATGTTCAATACCTACTCGCTAAGGTCTTATTTTTTATTTTTTATTTTTTTCTTCTTAGCTGGTATTCACACACATATGTTTTTACTGGAATTTGAACTCCTGACCTCTCTTTGAGAAGTAGGGGCCTGATACCGCTAGGCCACTTGCCTGTTTAGCTAGTGTTTTTGTTTCGTATTTTTTGCTTTTGTTAGTGTACTGAAGCGAAGCAATAGCACGAAGCACGTTTAGTAATATTTGATGTGCTTTTGAACAGTACCGAAGTGTTTTCAAAATTGAGGTCAAAATTGGAAGCATCAAAATGATACTTTCATTTGCGTCCGCACTGTAACAAAGTAATGTTCAAAAAATTTTATTTATTTTTTTTAAAATAATATTTTTAACTAACTATTCAAATTTTCAAACTCGTAACATTTTTTACCAAACATATTTTTATATTTTTACTTTTAAAAATCTTGTAATAAATTTATATTACCAAATAAATTTTAAATAATATTAAATATATTCTAAAAATAAAAACATTATTTTTATTTTGAGTTAAAATAAAAATACAAATACAAAGTAACTGAAGTTGCCAAACTGAGCCTTAAGAGACGCACTGCAAATTTGTTACAAAAGGCTGAAGGCCTCAATCTCAACCATCCACAATTTAAACACACTCGCTACCAAAAACCAATACCACCAATGCCATGCCTAGTGTTTGACTTCACAGTCACACCTCTCTCTCTCTCTCATGACTCATGAGTGGGTCTTTGAGTCTTTTTCAACATTGTATCACTTCTAGCTTAGTGGAGAACAAAATCATTAGGTTTTGAAGGTGAGTGTAATGAGCATGTGAATGCCCAATCCCAAGTCAAAATAGTATGACTCAGCAAGATGAACTGTTACCCCACGCTCCTCTT